AAAAAAGATTTCTAATTTATTTGACATTTTTAAAATTCACTTGCTTATCAAATACAAAATTCAATTTTTATATCTAATAAGATTCCATTTTACATTAGTGAATTTTAAAACATTTCTAACTTATTAAACACAAAATTGAAAATTCTGGAATCTATTAGACACTTTTAAAGCATAGGGAGCTATTATACACAACATTGAAAGTTTAGAGACCCTATTAGCCACAACCTAAATGTTTCGGGACTGAATTTGTAATTTGACCGGAATTGGTTTTCAGAAATCATTCCAACAAATAAAGGCAAGAGCTAAGTAATCCAAATTAAAAAACTCAGTAGGCCTTCAAAGGGTGGATCCCTCCTTAGTTGTATCATCAACTGTTTTTCTCTCTCTTCTTCCTTTTTTAAATTTCTTAAAAGAACCTTAGAAAGAATAAATCATGTTCATGCTAACTAAACCAACCTGCTCATGTGCAAATTTGAAGTCCTCCATTTTTAAAGGGCGAACGTCTGTGCTGCTATATAGTGCAGGTAAAGGTTTGTTCTCCGTCAAAGCAGAGATTCTCTCCTGTAATTTATAAACAGAACAACTCAGTATACATCCATAAAAATGTCCTACATTTTTAAAGATTAAAAAATCAATTGAACTAATTTAATTATACTGGAGACTGAGCAAATTTGATACACTATATACTTTTATGGCCATAAAAAGTTAGACTGAAATCTTTATTCAGAAAACATGACATATATACAATCTTGAATTCGTTTATAAGAGACCAAAGAAATTATAATCCATCAGAAAAGGAATAAAGAACTATCAGCCTGATATAACTAAGAAGCTTGCAACCACAAATAATGAAAACAAAAAACAAAATTTAACCCCCATTTGATAACCATTTTGTTATTGGTTTTCTGTTTTTAAAAATTAAGCTTAGAAACATGACTTTCAACATTAAGCTTAGAAACATTACTTTCACCTATATACCTATGTGTTCCTTTATATGGTATTAATAAACATTTTCGAAATCTATGTAAAATTTCGAAAACAAAAAACTTCTATTTAAACTTGTTTTGTTTTCTTCTAATTGTATTCTTTTGTCTCGTTCTTCCACGCAATTTGAAGAAGAAATACTTGAGAAATTTGTTTTAATTTTTGAAATTTGGCTAAGAATTCGAATATGATTCTAAGAGAGGTGAAAAACTAACCAATGAAATTGATAAAAAACAAACATAATTTTTAAAAACAGAAGACTAATAAGGAAATAATTATCAAACGGCACCTAAATAATCCCAATCAAGATTACCAATTTAAGGCAGCACACAATTTCTTAAAAAGGGATGCCACACCCTGTATGGATCTTCTTCAAATAACCTATTCTTTCTTTCTATCATAACGAGCCATAGAAGGCTTACTGGAGGCATCCCTCCACAAAATTCAAGCATTGCCAAAAAACCACAAGATCGAAAGGATACTACAGAGCCTCTGGCACTGTGAGATATATCTGACGGCCACAAAAGCATTAAGAAAGAATTGGACCAGCAACTGTTGGCACATAAAAGTGTGAGAGTCCTATAAGGGGTAGTTTAGGAATAGTATTAGTATTCTAGTTGGGGGCATTATAGTAATTAGTTAGGGGTGAGTGTTATAAATAGAAGTAGGGAGAGAAGAAAGGCATCTTTCGGAATAGTATATGGTGAAGAACTTAGTATAGTTCTTGGGAGAGAGATAGCCCACTCGAAAGGCTATCGATATTGAAATTTCTCTTTGATATAGCAATATAGTTACTTAGTTTCGTTTAGTATATCTGGATACCTAACAAAAAGCAGTGTAAGATGAAATGAAACACAGCCAAAAAGAGGTTGACCCTCTTACTCCACCCAGCGAAAGATCGTTTCGTGGAAGCGATGAAAAAGACTATTCCGCTCTTTCCTTGGTGCTACTTTTCTTTTAGGACTTTAGGTGAGTGATCACCTTTCAACAATGACAAGAATTTACTATCCAAAGGAAACACGTGGTCATCCATACCACCTAGATTAACTTTCCTGGGAAAGCCATTGATCATATTTAGTTCTATTATCCCCCAGTTTCTAACTCGCTAGAACCACAGCAATAACCTAGTAGAGTTAATACTAAAGAAATCTTTGTTAACTGAAAACAAATAGTCATGAAATACATATATAGCATTATGAATAGACTTATGACTCCCGCCATTTAGCATCTGCAAACAGTAACTAGTGATTTAAAACGAGAAGCCAAATATTAGCTAATCAGATGCTTACAATACCTCACAGTCACAGTAGCTATTTACAAAACAGCAAACTCTGCAGTAACTAACTTACAATAAACAAACAACGAAAATAAATATCAGAACACATATTTATAATAAAATCTTGTAGACAATCTTTGGACATGCTACTCTCCAGGCATATGGGTCTGAAATACCAAACTCACAGTCACTGCTGTAGCCTTTAAACAATAATAAGCCATCATTGATTGAGCTGCCACTCCTAACAAATCCTTGAACATTTCAAGAAGCACCTCTACCTCATTGTCAAGGATTTTATAGAATTCTACAGTGAATTTTCCGGGGCCAAGAGATCGGTTCAACCTAAGCTTTTCACTACTCTTCCAAATTTATTCCTCAAATAGGCTCCCGAACCAGGTATAATCCCCTTCACTAATTGGACATCAGTTAAGGCCTTCTATTTCGAATATAAATTGCCTCCTCCACGATTTCCTGCTTCATTAAAGCCATTGGAATCAAGAATTTCAATAGTAAATTTTTTCCCCTACCAACACTATTATTATAAAAGAATTTGATAATTTTTTCTCCTTCTAGCCAGTTAATCTTTGTTGCATCCACTTCTGCTCCTGTTTCAAGTGGCACGACCCTAAATTTCTTGGCTATATCAATTTCTTTAATTAAATTTACTGATACACGGTTTCTTCTGATCTAATGCTCCAGAGACTTCTCTGCTCCAGGGTTTCTGATGAAAGACAAAACCAGGCCAGCCTTGAAATAACCATTCCTAATAGTGACAAGTGACAACCTAGGACTACCTATTGAGGGACCAAGAGAGATGATATCATTATTCCACTAATGATAAATTCCACGACTCGAATTGAACCATTTAACCTTCAACATTATAGTAGAAATCCAACTAATAAATAAATCTTAAAATAAAGATGCAAATTAGTATTTAAAAAACATCTACGAAAAAGAGACATCAAATTTGAACTAAAATAAAGATGTTCAAAACTAAAAGAAGAGGCTTGAATAGGTTCTCATTAGCAAAGTATGCAACAATTAGCAACGGGACCAAGATGCACATTCTAGGAAAAAAAGAGTGATAAGCTAACCTTTTTCTCCTTGTCCAAAATTTCTCTAATGGGACAGTGTGCTGCAGTTACACACAAATTCTGCAACCAAATAATTAGAGTGACTTGAACATTGGTACAGTGAACATTTTTTTTCGATTTTCATATTGAGGTGATATTCTTAAAACTTGAACAAGAAATAGAACCTTTAAATCACTTCCAGAATATCCATCAGTCATATTTGCAATTGCTTCTAAATCAACGTCAGTGGCCAATTCTTCTTTGGCCAGTATAACTCTCAGAATCTTTTCTCTATTTGGGGCATCTGGCAGGTTAACCATCAACCTACAAAGAACAATCACATATTCGAGGTAAGACAGATTGATGACATAAGGGAGTAAATATATCAGAATTACACATATAACGTACCTTCGAGGAAGTCTCCTAATCACAGCCTCATCAAGATCAAAAGGCCTATTGGTTGCAGCAAGTACCAGTACACGTTCTTTGTCCTTTGTCCGCAACCCATCCCAATTGACCATAAACTCATTTTTCATTTTACGCATAGCCTCATGTTCTCCTGGATTCTCACGTCTTCCTAACATGCTATCAACCTACAGTAGCAGCAACATCCATATTTGAGGGGAATTATGAAACTTTTTTTTTTTTTGATAGGAAACAAATTTCATTGATAATATGAAATATACAAAAAAACCCTATCCAATGAGGTTACAAAAAAATTCTCCAATTGGATATGAGATAATTTAAACCGTAACTCTTAAAAGGATTCACACTTTTGCACCAAGATAAAGCCAAAAAGATAATATAGTATATTATAACATAAAAATATTAGTAACAAGTATACATGCTATGACATAAAAATAACAATAGTAACAAGTATACATGTTGGTGCAACCATAATTCCTATAACCAACCTCGTCAACAAACACAACACTTGGAGCAATTTTACTTGCTAGAGAAAACACTGCCTTGACGTATTTTTCACCCTCACCAAACCACTGCAAGAAACACAAAGTACACAACATTAACAGAGAATACCCACAGGTACGTAGACCAAAACTGTTCTGAAACACCTTAGCAAATTCGGGCGAGTACAATCTTTTGGGGAATATGGTTGAAGTGCAATAAAAGATTTTGATGATTGGCTTTTACTTAAATGAGAAAAGAAAAATTGTGCTTTGGAATAATTCTTTCGTGTGTATGTGCATGGGTGGGGGGAGTAGTACATTTATCGGGTTGTTATTTTAGTGAGCTTCTTGTTATCTAGCTGTACATTAATTTTGCACTTTTAATGGCCTAATTTGTACTACAAATTTTCAAATGAAACCTATTTTTTCCTCACAAAAAATAGCACATTTGTACCTTAGAAGTAATGCTTGACATGGAGATGTTGATAAAGTTCGCACCAGCCTCGGTTGCAACAGCTTTTGCAAGCATGGTTTTTCCAGTGCCAGGGGGACCGAAAAGTAAAATTCCCTTGCATGGCTGTCAAAGAGTAATAATTATAAAGATATAAGCTAAAAATCAAAGTTGCATAAATGCAGGTAAACAAGCTGTGAAATGGTTGATGTGCGCAACTGTTAATTCAGCAAACTTGTACACTTTTTCCTTCCAATGCAACTTTCGTTAAACTTTTTCCGAAGTAACAAAAGAGTAGGCACAGAAGGAAAAGACATCTATAAACTGGATTCCAAGTCTTATCTTTTCCCACCCAACTTAACTACCAAATTTTGCCAACTTAAATAAACCTTGTTTTGCTGATTAGTTTGGCTCTGATGGTATAGAATACTTTTTAAAATATAATTAATTTAAAGAAATAAAGGCAAAAAAGGAGTAAAAATGGCACAACGTGTATGGAAATTTTGTATGAAAAACCATGATAAGAAAGAGAACAAAATGAGTAGCATGGACCTATTTGGTATGCTAAAATTATATTATTATTTGGCATATTAGTTTTTTTTTAAGTTATTAAACTCTTGTAATCTAAACCATGGAATTCTGCACAAACAATTTTTGGACTTCGTAGTTCGTAATCAAAACCATGAATATTCTGAAAACATTTTTTTGTTTTCAAGTGTGACCATATTTTCAATTAGAATTTTGAAAACGTAGAAGAAAGATAAAAACTTTGATAAATATATTATTTCATGTTATAAACTTATTTCATTTTTGTCAAAATTAGAACATGTATAACAGTATATCTTATGTATTAATATAATATTGTATAATAATAATTATACAAAACTTATAACATAAAATATACATAAATTAATTGATATTATCTGAGATTCAATTTACTTAGTTGGTAATGACCACTATTTTTATTGCTTATAGATATATTACTAAACGCACCTTGAGATCTTATCTCAATCAGCTACCAGGTATTTGAAAATACTTAAAACATGAAATATAATTACGTTTTACATTGTACCCTTTATTTTCATATCACTGACCCAACGCACCCTAAAGTTTCTATTCTCAAATCCTTGTAGCCTTGTCCATATAATAAAGATACAAATGATAAGTCTTAACAGCCGCCACTTCTTACACAATTTACACTCGTAAATTGTCGACATCCAAGGATGACAAGAAAATCCAGTATAAGCATACAAAATTTTTTTTTTTTGAAAATGAAACAAAGCGTACAAAAATTAATAATAATAAATTGAAGATAGGCCTATAGTACAAACCTTTGTTAACTGCCCTTTGCAAAACAATTCAGGCCTCTGTAGAGGAAGCATCACCAATTCTTTCAATGTGTCCTTCACATTTTCTAAAGCACCAATGTCTTCAAATGTAACACCAATATCACCCGGTGGAATAACATCAGCAAGAAGTTTCTTTTCAAATTCATTCTCAGTAACCACATCCTAAAATTGTTGAAACACGCTCCAATTTAGGTACAAGAACCCGTACCAAAAGGCAAAGGAGTAAAAAACTCGTATTTATGTCAGAAAATCCAATAGTTCTACAAGATTACCTTGAGTGATTTCTTCAAGCTTTTGCTCTCACTCTGCAGACCATGTAAAATGTTCAACCCATACTCAATGCTGCAGAGAAAAACATAGCAACACTATGAAAACAGTAAAATAGTGTATAGTTCCATTCCCTGGTTAAAATTTGATATCACAATCAGCAGAGGCCCAGAAAAAGTAGACAACCTTTCTGTAGAAATGACGAGTTTAGAATCCTTAACCAACACTTCAGTGCAATGCATGAAATGATGACTCAAAGCCCAGCCTACAACTTTCTCAACGCCTGTTAAGACAAACACAGGATCACAGTCATGAGCTGCACCCAATAACCATAAAAGATAATTACAAAATCTTTCCATGTATACGAACTTTCAGGTGTAAGTGCTTGATCTTTAATGCAGAGAGTTTCAAGTTTAGGGCAAACCAAACCAATTCGACTGAGAACCTGAAACCACATTAAATCCATATATAAGGAAAGAAAAAAATAATTCTTTTCTTAAAAAAACAAACAAATGGAATTAGCTTAGTAGCAAAGACACAAGGAAGTATACAGATATATGTAAGGGTGAGTTAAAAAATAATGTGGAATACTGTATGTCCCGACAAGAAACCTCTTTAAATGCAACATCAAATTGGCCAACCAACTTGAACGAACTCTTTAGAGACTTTGCTAGGGAAGAATCTAAAAAGGGTGGAGGATGACATTTAGTAAATTGGAGCAAACGCTCAACTCCCTACTGGCTGAGGCGGTCTTGATAAAGGGACATAAAGCAAAGGAACCTTCTCAACTTGCCAAATGGATATGAAGGTTTCAAAGAGAGAATAAGACACCTTGGAGGCTTGGAGTAAACTCATCGAGGCAAACTTTGGATCCCTCCCAACAATCTCCGGACAGATACTATTCATTCTTCAAAAGCACCTTGAACATCTATTTACAATCATAAAGACCTTATCTCAAAGACCTTATCTCCAATATAATCAAGATCTTTGAGATGATTTTTGAATTGGTAATGCCCCTCATTCATGATGTGGCATACATGCCCATTATGATTAATTGGCTACCAACTGCTTAGCACTTAGGGATGAAGTTGTGTGCTGCATTGTGCCCTGTTTTTGTGTCAATGTTCTCTAATCATAATAATAATAAAATACCTTTATCTATTGCCACTACTATACATGTGTCAGTCTTGCAACGGAGGCCCTCAGTTGGAACATATAACAACAAAAACTGATGGCTTCAGAAAATTCAAGAAACTCGAAACCCTCTCCCTCCGTTGATATACAACTTGAATAAATACAAGTTTGCACTCGCTCCATCAAAACTGGAATCGATACCCCAATCAATTTTCTTTTAACAAGATACAAACTTTTCAATGAAAATAGGAAAAGGAACAAACGTATTTTATTATTGTTATCATCACTTTTTCACCACCTAGCCAGCTTTCCTAGTTTTCCCTATTGGACTTCAATCATCCGAACTGCCTGTACTATACTTGTAGAAAGAACTCATCTACCTTCTTTCCACAGAGGATATAAGTCGAACACAAAAGACCCAGCAATTATATGGTAAGTTCAAGGGGCATCAGTGATTCATCAGAAATAAGTTAAGCATCAAACAGAACTGACATACCAAGCATGAAAAAAATTATAATGGTGACAGCAGGCAAGTCTTTTAGGGTGTTCTCTCTATAAGAACGACAGGTTATTTAGGTGCAAGCAGAGAAATTTGGAGCAAGAGGGTCACCCAGCACTCACCAAGCGGATGCTGACAATGTTTGCCTGTGTTTTTAGAGTTTCAGTATCACGTTCTAATTGTTGCTTCCATTCTGAAAGTAAGGCCTCATCCTAACAACATTCAAGAAAACATCATGAGCTGAATTTGATAGTAACAGATGCAGCAAGATAACAGAATCAAAATAAAGCAATAAGATCATAGTACCTGAGGGAGTAATATGGTTACTTTGTTGGGGAAGAGTCGACTAAGTTGTTTTGTTGCCTTTGGAGTTTCTTTGTTCCTATCATGCAATCTTCCAAAATTATCCTGAATAGGGAAACATGATATATATTATTAAATTCCTAGGAGAAAAACAATATCACAAGACTATGGAGAAAAGGTCAAAGCATTAAAAAGAACACAAAAAAACATCTCATAGTAAGAATCGCAAGAAAATTCTAGACAAAACACACCACAAAAAAACTGTGTGATCTTATAGAAAAAGGTCCAACAAAGGAAATTACATAAGAGAATACCAACTAGGTCAGAGTTTAAATATTAAAATACAAAAAGAAGAATTAAGCTCGCAACAAGCGGCAGCTCCAATTTAAAATATAAATACAAATAAAAATAAAAAATCCTCTCCGATAGATACGAAGCCTATATATTCAAAAAAATACTGTTTCTTTACTTCGTAACAACCATAAGAAGGCTCTTATGAAGTTCTCAGTAAAAGTGTCCTCCCCTTGTATTTGAAGGGGTGACTGACAAGAAAGAAATAGAGGAGACTTCAATCATCAATGGATACGGTGGCTAACCAACCAAAAATTGATCACTATGTACTTAATTCTATTTCCTTGTATTGCGGCTTGGCTCGTCTCCCCCTTTTGTAACTTCATATATATATATCCTACTTGTGTTACATAAAACTCAGCATCCTACATTACCAGCTGGTTTAACGTTACATTAAATACCAACACAACTAATATATCTCAATCTTTCATACAGAGCCAAATATTATTCTCGCTGTGTTTCCCGACAAGACAGTCATATTGCTACCATAGTAAACTGGCATAATCCTGTAACCAAGTTATTCATTAATGCACCAAGAAAGTTTACCAATAGCATTTTCTTGGATCAAGGCAAAACTCATTTCTCAATACCATGGGCTTTATGCTCATTTCTAAAATTGACTGGCTCGTAAACAACTTGCAAAGTCCAGCCCCAATCTGAACTCACGAGCCAAATCTGACCCCATCTTGACAACTTAAAACCGAATGGACAAAACACGCCCAAACTACAGCCCATTGTGTATTATAGAAACAAAACCAAAAAGATTGTAGGCATAGAGCAACCACACCAATCCATCCCGAACTTGGTGGTTAAACTCTACTGCAGTGACGATACTGTAGGGGAGGTCCTGCAGAAAAATTGCTTAACGCTAGGATGATAAAAAGCTTAACACCTCTAATTCTTGTTACTTTTCAAATGAAAAATAAAAAGGTCATCTTATTCAAAACCCCAATTATGAAACACCTCTCTCTCACTTCACACCTTGGAACGCACCGTTCTTATAGAGAGAGGCGCTTTCACATCTTCTAAGAGAGAAAAAGAGCGAGACTACTCACTAAAAGCCAATGACTGTTTTGCACTTTTGGAGATACAATTATGCTCATCAGCACCACTAAACATCTATACATTAACTACTTTCGTACCCTCCAAAAGTGGGGAAAAATTAAATGTAATGGTATGAAAATTTGAAATGAATAGCGACTAACTAATAGTGTGGGATAATATAGCATAAACATTCAACACAGAAAGATTCTAGGATAGTTTCATATTCCTTCCTATCATAACAATACTGCCAAACATTAAGCCCTAGAAAGAAATACAAAAGCAGCTGACGCAAATTATGATGCATCATGCATGTTGGGGCGAGTGCCAACATAAAGGAGAAAATAAAAAATACAAAGAATATACTCAATGATAAGTTTGCAAACCAGATCGAGACCTCATAATAGCCCATAATCAATTAGGCTTAGTAACATGAACAAATAAATAATGCCATATCATAACATTCATAATCACATCCATAAAGATACTCTGCACTCCACTACTCCTTCAGGAATGGATAGAAAGAAGATGAGAAGATAAGAATTAGCATACCGGAAAAGCAAGATCAAGTAAAGCTGTTTGGTTGCTTCCAAACTTGGTAAATAGGAGACCACCAGGATGAGACTGGAAACATATGGTAGGGGGAAAAGGAATTAAAACTATCCAAACATACTTTAAAAGAAGAAAAGGGGGGGGCCATTGGATGAGCTAGGCAATATTCTCTGCTCACCTTCTCTTTTCGATTATCCATATGGGTGTGGGAGCCAATAACAACAACGTTTCCTGGCAAATTTTCAAGCCTGCCCTTTAGGATAGAGTAAGCATCTGAGTGCCCCACCATTGCCTTTTCTATGTCTTTGACAAACAATATCAGCGGACTGTTTTTACTCTCATTGGAGACAACCTACATACAATAGCCAACATTGTAGAGACTGTGAGTACCAAGAGAAAAAGAAGGATAGCTTCCTAGCCCAATTTAGGGTAATGGGTACCTCAAAAACTTCATCAATAGCAAGCTTATCGGTATCATCACCTCCAGGACCATCCAAGCGAAGAAGATGATTAGCTGTGATGTCAATTTAGAACAGTGAAATGGCATGGAATATATCAGAAATGGAACCCAAAGAAAAAGAATAACAGGTAGAGAAGAATTACCAGAACAAAAGAAGCCATGATCTTCTTCACAAAGGCCACCTAGATCGTTACCATCTGGGATTGATTTGTCAAATCTCACCCCAATTTTTGAGGACCCATTCTCTTCAAAAGCAAGAACAACTTTCCCCCGACAACCATAAGATGGTCCCCTGCTTGAAAGATAAATGAGACAGGAAATTAAAACTAAAAGAATAATAATGATGATGATGATGATAAGAATCTCATAATAGCAAATCGGTTTTAAAGAGCAAAAAGGTCTTCACATAAGACAAATCTACATAATAGATATATGAAGAAACAACAAAAGAGTGCTGCATTTTCTACGAGGGAAACCCTTGATCATATTTTTATCCACTGCCCTTGTGCTCACAGCGTTTGGTCTCTTGCTGAATTTGGCTTGAACTACAGCCTACCTGCAAGGTGGGCCACCTTTTTTTTGGAATCCTTCAGCGGGGCTGGTCTGAAAGGAAAGTCCTATTATTTTATGGAATTGTGCTGTAAGGGCCCAGCTTTGGCTAACTTAGAAGGAGAGAAACAACAGAACTTTTTAAACAGAAGCATGTCTTTGGATTCTTTCTTTAGCAATGTACAGCATTTAGCCTCTTGGGTGCTCGAACCACAAAAAAACTGCTTTGTAACTACAGCCTATTCATGATTGACAATAATTGGTAGGCCATTTTGTCTTAGTTTTGGGAGGGGGTTAGCTCTCTACCCCTGCCCTTAGGCTGTTCTGATGCCTCTTTTGTTTTTAATTCAACAATATCATTTCTTATCAAAAAGAAAAGGAAAAAAAAAAAGAAGAAGAAAAACAACAAAAGTGGTGGACAAAAAGCAAATTATTTCTTCAACACATTTTTTATATATGAAAAAATGATGGACAGGAAAGACGAACCAAAAAAAGGAGCAGAAATTTACAAATGCTGAACTCTATCACTAACAATAATTAAGAAGCACAGAAATAACATTAAATTACTATAATTTAAAAATAATAAAATAATTCAAATTTACCCTGTAATACAAGTATATTTTTTTGTTGGCAAAGAAACACATAATACAAGTATATAACAGTTATCCATACTTTCAGATCATCAGACACAAAATTAAGGCGCCAGAAGGAGAAGAATTACCTGAGAGGACAACTTTGAAGAGATGGTGAAAGAGTGGATGATAAGGTACCCACAAATTTAACTTTGTCACCTACAAATTAATGAAAGGTTTATAAGATCATGCGCATGATAGGGTGGGAGGCTGGGTATGGACCAGTTGCCACACCAACCACAAGTCAAACAGTGATTGTAAAGAATATACCTGTCTTAAAAGCAGTGGTCTTCGATGAAGCCGTGGATGCTTCCTGTTTTGGCAAAGCCTGGGAACTAATTGTAGATCCACCAGCAATATCAGCCTCAACACTGGATGTTGGTTTCTTGTTCTGAGAAGCAGACGCAGCAGCAGCAGCGGCAGCGGCAGCTGCCTGCACAGCTCTTTTGGCAAAAACAGATGCTCTTTCAGGCCTCGAATTCTCTTTTACAAGATCAGCATCCTTGGGTGTTGGTCCCTGAATTCATTGACAAGCTCAATTGACAACCCTTATGAGGTATGTTTGCAAGGTTACAAAAACAAACATGAGATGCACAACAATTAAGCAATGGGATTTGTACATGTGGGAAGTATTTAAAGCTTGAGAATCAAAACTATTATTTTCCTTTCCCCTCCATTCCTCATGGTCATGTACTTAATTTATCACTGATTCACTAGATTACACAAGATTTAATCTGAACTCTTTCACACCTGTTGAAATTCCTAGAAAAACAAATGAACGAACTTTCAAGAAAAATAACACTACAAGGCAAACATCTGCATCTTACACCAGGCAACAGAAGAGAATCCACAATCAATAATCTAGCTCCAAAATGCCGGGCTAGTGCCTTAGTCAAAGTTTCCTGGTATATTTCTGAACCTGTAGACATTCAAGTAACAAGCAAACAACGTCAAGTGAAAGAATCTGATGGAAAGAGAAACAATCAAAGAAAAAAAAGTTATAGTTAAAGAATAAAAATGGGGACAGTCCAACCTGCAGGTCCAGACAACAGTATACGTGGGCTCAATATAGGAAGGTCTGAGGCATGCTTTACAAATTTATTACACTTCAAGTGAATGAACATCGACGCAGTCAGAACATTTTTTGTGGTATCACTGTAAAAAGATACAGAGTGAAATAAAGATTTAGGACACATCCCAGTTAGCCTATACCTCAACTCAAGCAATTCAATACAGAGTTCAGGATAGTTTTTCAATATGCTAAATGTGCTTGTGATAATTTATAACACTCGTCAAATTTACCATCACGTTGGGGCTACGCAACAATGAATATTCTTGAAAGCTTAAAAAAACACTTGAATAGTGCCAAAGAAACCCCACCTACAAACTCAAAATCATTTCCACACACACTAAATCACAGTAGTTACAAGAAACCCCAAAATGTCAAAATTGAAAAAGCCCTACGATTAACATATGTCATGAACAATTGCTAGGTAACAATTAAAAACAAATAAATAATTACTAAAAATATACAATTTGAGATTCATCCTTTCACCTTAAATAATATGGGAAACTCTCGAAAGAAACATCAATATTATCAGGTATAAGAATTCCTTGTTGTAATCTTTCTTTAAATGCTTGACGTCGAGTTGACATCAAAATAGCAGGAGGGTTAAAATCTTTAAAGAGATTCCCAATATCCCTTTGCTCATCAAGGATTTTGGAAATGCTGCCACTTAAATTAAAGTCGGGAGATGCCGAACTCGCTAACATTTGTAAAAGTGGCCGTAATTCATGAGTTGCCCCAGGGACCTCCCCAATTTCTGCATCAATACAAGCATCTAATCCAAGCCTATCAAGACTGGGGCTTTCAGTGGCAGAATCAGGAATTGGATCCATAGTTTTGTCCATGGAAGCATCACCATTTAGATCATTATTATTAATAGTACCATCTTTCAAGTTAATGTCTGGATTCTGATCATCTGACACTCCACAACCAGAAGGTAGCTCCACGTCCTCATTGGATTTAGCGGGTGGGGAAAGCAGAGACAAATCTTTCTGAATATTTGAAAACGAAGCCAATATGGATGCACCAGTAACAGCTGAGGCATCCCCAGACCTTCCTTCAAAATGCATCCCCTTAACAGGTGCACTATGAGCTTCTAAAATATTAACAGAAGGCAGGCCAGAAACAGCAAAATCATCATTAGTGAGCTGCTGAAATATCTGATAGTAAAATTAAGGAATTTATTACAGATACGCATTGTTGCATTCACAAAAAGATAAACAAATGTTAGAAGAAAGAGAAAACCAATGTAGAACTTTGTCTTCTTAACCTTCTTGGCGGGAGAATGGAAGTTGTTTAAAAATAGTAAGCTATAGCACTTCCCAAAAAGGGTATCTTGCAACATTCCAAAAGGATACATAAGCATGTTTTCCAGAGGAAGTGAAGACGACCTCATCACCTCCACATAAAGTTACACTTGAATTCTTTTGATAAATCTTGCCATTTACAATAACAGCACCTTTGCCTCCCGTGATTTCCAGTGAAGCAACAGAAACGGCGCCACGCTGTTGCAATATTAGTGACAGAAAAAGAAGTCACAAAACGCACAACTAAGCATTACAAAGAAAAGGAAAACCAAATTAAGCATAAACTCCCATTTTACGCAGCAGCATCTGAAGGGGAAAAAAATCTAATTTCTCTAACCTTGATGTGCCTCAGCTTACACAATGTCGTACTAACAGACGGATCTTTAAGCCATAAATTACACTGACGACTTTGACCAACCGTGAACAAAGTACCACAAATGGCTAAGTGCGGATTCTGCAGAAGCATAATAAACCCAGATCACAATTTAGAGATTATTAAAAACACACACACAAAGACAGACTAGGAAAACTGAAGTGAGTCAGGTGGCATTGATTAATATCAATATTTGAAGTTATTAAAACAAATCCTAATAGATGTGAACTTTGCCAACAAAGCAAATGTTTCTTCCTAATCAATCCCCACCCCATTTTGAGACGTTAGAAACAATGAGCAACCAATGCGCCAACTATCTAAAAATCAAGCCGATGAATTCAGCTTGGGCCTTGAATTTTAGGCCGCCATCCATAACCAACAAGTTCTCCAAAACTAACCTGCAATAGAATAGTTGCTAGGGGTGTTCATCTAACCTAGTGACCTGAAAAATCAAACAACCCAAGCCAAACCGATAGAGGGTGTGCTAGTTAGTTAAATTTTCAGATCGGGTTGGGATCATTTGTCTATTTTTTGCATAACCGAAAAAATCGGTTTGGCTCGCGGGTTGGAGAAATTAAGAGCCAGTTCAATCCAAACCAACCCGAACTGGTATTTAAATATCTAAAGAAGTAATTTACCCTTATTGATTTTTTTAATATATTATCTCTCTTGTCAAATCAATATGTTGCTACTGACTTGAAGGAACCACTTACTCGTGAAGGAATTAACCTGCGGAACCATCTCTTCCTTGCATCTCTCACTTACCATGACCCCCTTCTTATCTCCCTCCCTCACTTATCCAATCTCACACCTTCTAAACAAGTTCACGAAAAAGTTTCGCCCGCCCAAATTTGTCATTCACTTCAAGTGGCACCTTCGATCTCACTATCAGCGTCTCTCTCCTCATTCATAAGTCATTCCCATTTGTTCAACATCTCTCTTTGTTGATCTCGCTTCGTTCATTCACCATCCATAAATCATTTATATCTTCTAACCACCATTCTTCCAAATCAAACAATTGTTAGCAACCTGATGACCCAAACGGCCAAACCCAACCCAACCCTAGAAGACAAGGGTTGGGTTGGGTTTAGTGTTACATCAATTCACTCAGGTAGGTGAAACGACCAATAAAATATCCGTAAAACCGACTCGACCCAACGCGTGTATACCCTTAATTGTTGCCAAGTTTTGGTGGATAGCCAAGCCAAAGGATTTTTTTTTAAGTTATTACAAAATCTGAATTACAAAATCTGAATCCTCAAGGGCAGACGACTATATTACATTACAAATTTTACCCTTTTTACTCTATCAATCAGCTGCCTCCATACAATCGTTACCAACCTAGGTAGTCGAGGTTACAACCTCCAACATTAGAAACAGCATCTCCTACCATTACAACAAACTGGATCACCCCACCATTTCTGTTAATCATAAATACATTCACTAGAGGGGTGATCTTTGTGCCCATTCCATAGCACACTAGTCCAACGATGATAAATTAAGTTTGAGTTTATTGAGTTCTCCAATATGATGACCCAAGGATCAAAACTCAAGCTCTTTAATAAGAATCTGCAAGTCCCCTTGTCCTTTTTTAGGATAATCAACAAGTAGTAAGGCCAAAACAATCCAATATTCCAATGCCACCCATGAAGACAATCCTTCGCACGTGACGTGCCAAGGAGTCGCCCTGTCGCTCAAGCAAGCAACCCTATGCACACATATAGCCTACTAGCTGCTTGCTAACACCATTTGCTAGCATGCTCGACCTACTCACTCCACCCACAAGCTTGCTCATTCACATGCCCTATTGCCTACCCCTATGCACACCATCTATATGCTCCAATGCCCACTCATCGCTCTCACCCACATAACCATGTTGCCTACCGCTTGCATGAGCACATGCGCTTGCCTCCTATCCACGCCCATGCACCTTGTGCACCCCACACCTCTGCCAACCACTCATCCCTATGCAACGAGGCATCACCCACCTCACATTAGCACCTAGGAAAGCTTTGCTTACATGTTAGTTCAGGTTCTTACTTTTAAAACCCTATTTGCCATCCATAATTGTTTTTTAAATCTAGGAGTTCTTCCTTTTTCGAACTTTCCACGTCGGCAACTATGGTTCCAACCCACCAAGTTACCACCCCTTCAAACAAAAGAACAATGGATAAACAGTGATTTAGTAACTCCTCATCGTTGTAAGGGTAAGTAACACATTGCACAATTTTGTGATGACGTCAAAAGTTGGAGAACTCTTCTTTGAATCTTGTCTAAAGTGTTGGTGCTTTTACATGCCAGTGTCTAAATCAGAAACAATATGTACTTAAAAAATGGTATATTTTAATAAATGTGCCCTTGTCATGTATGTGTCCTAGATTTTTGAAAATGACGTGTCACCATGTCCGTGTCTCGTGCCCGTCTCCATGCCTCTTAGTGTAAATTAAGAACTTAGCCTTTTTAGAGCTTCAACCATCTTGGATCAACTTAAAATGGGAAAGGCTTCAATTTAATCATTTTGGAGGGCTAGGGTAGATCAATGTTTTAAAGGCTTTTGAGGCTTACACCTTGAGGCTCGTCTCGAGGCATGATCAAGGATTGGAGAGAGAGGCCAATGGACAGTGTCAAGTAGATTGTTTCTATGGGGTGATCTTCAACTGATTTTACAGGCCTTAGCCCCTTAAAGGAGATTATCATAACACAGCCTGGTCTGCTTTCTCTTTATATATAATATAACATATACGAGAATATGGTTAGACCCGTTGCTTCTGTCAGCTTAGGCCGACTACAAGGCTAGGACTACAATACAAGTCATTAGTGATAGCGACAAAGAAAGGGCAGATGGATCCTATCCCCTATATCGAACACTAAATCCTAGCCTTGAGATTTATGACTTCATTGGACTATAGGAGGGAAGAGGCTTACGCCTCATTAAGACACACTGAGGCTTGAGGCTTAAATTTTTACACCTCCTGTAATGATTACAAGAATACTGTTAATTTTCCCATTCTTAAAAAATATAAAGGTTTTTTTATATGGAATGCTAAAGCAATAGTCTAATAATTCAATCTATTACTACTTTTACTACCAATACTCTAAAAACATTGAAGGCAAATTTATAGAATAAGTCAAAAACATTGAAGACAAATTTATTTTTCTTTTGATATGAAACAAATATTTCATTGATGGTATGAAATACACAAAAGGGCCCAAGGGCATTTACAAAAACGCCTTCCAATTAGCAATAAGGTTGTTTAGAGAGTAGCTATTATAGGGAGGATAGAAACTTTTGCACCATCCTAGAGCTAACACCGTAACTGTATCAAAAAGAGCTTCAAAAGGGAGGGATTTGTCTTTAAAGATCCTATTGTTTCTTTCCAACCATAAGCTCCAAAGAAAGGCACGAATAAATTGAGTCCAGAGGATAGCTTTCTTCTTCTTGAAACGGGTGACCGGCCAAAATGCAGTTAAGGAGGATGGAGGGTTGTATGTGTAGAGTTGTCGACCAACCAAATGATTGTAGGATACGGTCTCAGAAGGCTGAGGCAAAATTGCAGTAAATGAACAAGTGTCCCTGTGTCTCCGAGGCCCTGTAGCAAAGCAGTTTGGCGAGATGGATAAGTGGGGGAGCTTTTTCTGGATCATGTCATGCTTATTCAAGGCTCCATGACTGAACTCCCAGCATAAAAACTTGATCTTTTTGGGGCATTTGCCTTCCATAAACTGGGGAAGAGAGTAGAGGCGATGTGGCTTCGGTCTGTAGTTAGTTGTTTAAAAACAGAGCCAACGGTGACTGTCCCATTGAAGACAAATTTATAGAACAAGTAAATCTTATTGTTAATAATAGTAGTGCTGTTAAGGATATTCTTTTAGAATTTTTTTAGCAACAGGTTAATCCTTTTATAATTTTATATACCTATTATGTTTAGTAATACTTCACACAAATTTAGGATTTGTATAATTTTTTAATAACGCCTCGTCTCATGAAGAGGAAAAGCCTCAAGGCCACCTTTAGCCTTTTAAAACATAAGGTAGATGATTTAACAGTAAAGACACAAAAATTGTCAAATTTCCACAATATGCTATCTTGATATCGACTTAGGCCAACCTTACCAATCATCATAGCAAGTCTAGACACTACTCAATTTTCCCCTCAAATAGTGTTTTTAAAAGTGAGAGATGCACTAAAGCACAATAATCCTCCAATGCTTCAGCACAATATGCAAAAAATGTGGTCATTGGTAAGGCGCATTGTACACACTATTAAATATGAAAAAAATTAATAATATTGGAATAAAAAAGGAAATATTTGAGAAAATAGAGCTTTGGTAAGAGAATATGGAGAAAAATTACCATTCTTTAAATTTTAAAAAATTATTTAAAAAAGGCCTTCTGACACCAATGCAAAGGCACATCGCTTCTAGTGCATGCGTCAGTTTTCTCAAAAGCGCATCCAGACGCAATTTTAGATCATTGCTATCAAATAAGTTCCTTCCCAATGAAGGTTCCTAAGTAAAATTATTTTTGTTACAAAAATACCCATAGTGGAGTGGAGAAAGGAAAATAAAGTTTGAAGGGCTGGGGTGATCCTCACAACTTCACTTGTAAAGAATATTTCAAGAAAATTTTGATCTTCGCAATTTCTTAAATCTTACCACAAACTAAAGTGTCCTTTCAAAAGGTTGGACTTAGGGACCAACCTTGATCCTCCATTCTGTAATATTAAATTTTTAATCAAGATCCTCTCGAGAAATTTCTGTCCCAAGTGAATCTCGACATCCATTAATGAGGAGAACATGATTCTTTTTCCCAAGATTTCCAACCCCAAGCATCCTAAGGGAAAAGGGAGAGTGACCTTCAACCACATGTTGACTCCTTCCTTCCCAACCAAAGCCTTGCATGAAAAACCCCTCAAGAGTATTTTTATAATTTTGCTAACTTTAACGGGAATACAAAAGATTGAGATTTGAGAGTTAATACGATGGGATATTTGCAAGAACCTAGTTCAGCAAGGTGAGCCTTATACTTTTGGAAATGGGGAAAACACTCTAATTGGCCAATTACCCTCCCTCATACCCAACAACAACCAGGCCAAAAGGCAATGGTGCAAAAATTAGCTAGATAAGGGAGGGGAACACATTCAAATCTATAACTAAATGAAGCTATTCTTTTTACATACCTACAGTCTACATTCAAGCCAACTAAAGCAAATTTTTGCAAATTAATTGTCACGCCTAAAGCTCGTTAAAAAAATTCAAGAAAACCCACCAACTTATACCGTCTCCCTATTGAATGTGATAGTCCACATCTATGCAAAAGCCTTGAATTTTATTCTTGGTTTTGTAAACCTCCATAGAATAGCTAAAAAGTCATCTACAAGAGTGAAAAGGAGTAGGGAACAGGCCCCTTGTCTTAGTCCTCATGAAGCCATAATACTGTCAAGGTCTCCTGCTAATCAAAACTAAAAAATAGAAGTATAAAGGCATCCAAAAACCCACTTACTCCTCTTTCCAAAGGCTTTATAGTCCAAGATCGCATTTAGGTAAGCCCAACCAACTTAGTCACAGCCCTAACATAGTCGCAGCCTTTTTCAATGTCTATGTTCAAGACAACTTTCATCCTCTATTTTAGCAACCAGCAAAATAGCATCCATAATTTTCCTTCCATCCACAAAGGTTGTTTGCTAATCATTAATAGTAGGGGGAGAACTCTTCATGGTCTCTTGGCCATAATTTTCTCTATAACTTTTTTGGGGGAAGAGACACTATAAATCAAAATAAGGTAGATGTATGTCTCATTAGATCTATTAAGAATACCGCTCTCGAAAAACTCTTGGAACACCCTAAGTTAGTTTTAATGGTATTCCAAAAAAGGCCAGATTCCCTGTAACCTTTCTCTAAATGCTTCCACCACTCATACAATTTTCTCATCTAGTAAAAATGTAAAATAGAAACCCCCCACTAAGAAAAGTATCAAACAAATTCAGTGATTGCTTGAATATCAACTCAAATCTACTTAACATTACACAATAAGGTTATATCAAATATTGACCAGTTAATATTTCCTTCTCCAAACAGTTAGCACCGCACTACTTCTTACAAGTGACAATGAATCATTGAATGAACTTGTGGATTACTTCTTCAATCATTCCTTACACTCTTGCAGCTTTTTAAAAACCAAATAAACTTTTAGCCACACAACTTTTAGTCGGAACCTTCAACTAATTCCATCTAACTTTCCAATAAGTTGATAGTTCGTGTGGATAATCTACATCAACTTCGAGGAAGGCAAAAAAATAAATAACATGAAATTGAAAAATTAACCATTAGGATATATTAAAGAAGAAATCCTGAAAGGAGGCCATAGGCAGAAGAAGGGCAACAATAGAGGCAACTCCTACTCCACAACAATTCACAACTAGCTGATGAAATAAGACCCCCCAAAACAAAACCCAATTGCAGAGAACATAGGCGACCAACAAGAGAAAATCTCGACATGCTGATGTTGCTTGGAGAATAGCCATGTTTCAAAATTACTCTCAAGGATAACGAACCAGGAATCAGGAATTCATGAGTAAAATTCTACCTGAGAGCACTGAGAAAGAAGTTTTCCCCATGCAGGCTTCGAATTCGGCTTTGTCATCCTCATGGTACGCTTCTTCGTGCGATTCAGCATGGTAGCCACAACCGCCTTAGATTTCTCTGCGTCGGCAGCAACGTCACCTAAATTCCACACGAATTGATCAGACCCCACAACCCAACACAGATTTAACATCAATCATCAAACACCAATGTCCAAGAAATCAAACTACATGCACCGAACAGCAGTTTGGGGGGGCACCTAAAGGTTGCGGCGTCATCATCGCCTCGCCTTCTGCCTGAAGATCATGCGAATTCTCGGGAACCGCCTCATCACATACGTTGTTGACCTTCAGCGAATCAGTATCGAACGGATCAGCTGATTGTATGGCTGGGTCTACAGGTTCAACCCCAGATTCCCCAACCGGGATCAAAGGTTCATCAGGCGGTGCGCTCTGAACGTCTTCGGTAGACGATGACGCCTCAATAACCTACCGTTTCAAAAACAATAACAGATCAAAAACCCACCGCACCAAACCCACGCCTAAATCCCAACCAAAAACCCACAAAGAGGGAAAAAAGAAATCGGGAAAATCAAAAATCAGTGGCATGCAGAAACCCAAGTGGAAGAACAATCCCCAGTCCCACGTAGGGGGGAAGCATCAGAAGAAAGTACCTTAGATCTTTTGGAATTGGGGGTGCCCGAGGGAGGGGGGGAGCCATGGGGTGAAGACAGAGAACGTTTGGAGAAAGAACTACGCCTGGTTTCAACCATGGTAACAAAGAGAGGTGTAGAAATAGTGGGTCTGTAAATCGATTGATCCCCTCTTCTTCTTCTTCTTCTTCTTCTTTTTCTTCCTCTCCGATTGAAGGACGACTTTTGGGTATGGGGGTTGAGGGGATAAAGAAAAAAGATGAACTGGGAGGAGAGGCAGAGCCCGAGACAAACAAAAGGGAGAGACGGGCAGAGGGAAGAGGAGGAAAATTGATGGGGGAGATCAGTTAAGTAGGCCTCGATTCTTGCAAGAAAAACAAACAAACAAAAGATGAGAAAAAGATGAAATTTTTATAATTAATTCACTTGTTCTTGGGGAAGAAAATTATTGAAAATGAAAAGGGAAAAGGGAAAAGAGGGATGTATGTGGAGGGGGTGGGAAGTTGGAAAGGATTGTTGGTTGGACTAATAATTATAATTGTGGTCGTTTCTCAGGTTGGGGATGGATTTATTGACATCGAATTTGGTTGGTGTGTACAATTTAAAAGGGTGCTTAAAACTCTTGTATTTACCGTAGTGTTTATTAAAATTGTATTTGATTGGTGATCTGAAAATATAAATCTAAAAATAATAAATTCAACCATAGTTATATTGATGTATTTTTATATATATTTGATAGCATATTTGAAAATTAAATTGTAATTTAAAAGTTGGTGGATTTAGAAGCTAAATATTTAGTTCAATCTATAATAATATTAATTAAACATTTTTTTAAGAAATTTTTTTATATAGTTATTATTTTATTATATTATATCATTTATAATAAGTTATATTTTAAGTATTTTAGTTTGAAAAAATTTAAATAAAATGAAATTATAATATGGAATAGTATATTTATTATTTGTTCAAAAAATAGTATATTTATTAAAGTCCATAACATACCTTTTAAGATTTAAAATTCAAAATCCGAAAGTATTAAAAATTATAAATATGTTTTTTAATAATTTTTATTGTTTTGATCGCAAAATCTGAAAACGATCTTAAAAACAAATATGTTGTATACATATTAACTAAATTCATTTGATTCATTGAATCTGAAAATAAGAAATAGAATTTGAATTGGGCCATGGAGTTCTTATTAGGATCGATCTCCCTTTTAGTAATTATTGAACTAAAAAATAAAAGAAAAATGTTATTGTATTTATAGTGGTAGTTAATTTTATCTGATAAGCAATATATGAGTTGTGCTACATGTACAGAGATGGGGATTTAACTGCTGAGTCGTGTTTATGTTGGATTATTTTTTTTAAATAGAACATTACTCAACTATATAGTTAGGAAGGCAAGTGAGATAGTCTAACTTTATTTTCTAGCTAGTCGAATTGAAATTTGACTAGCTAAAAAATCAGATGATTAAACAATAAATGAAATCAAGAGGTTGAAAATTGAGCCAACCAAACCACCAAAACTATCTATCTAGTTAGTTTGGTTCGATGGATCAAATGGTTAGGATAAAAAGCAATTAGGGATGGGTAATTGAGCAAGATATTGAAAAATGTGAAAAGGGAGAGAACTAGCATGAAATATACGACTAAGAAGATTGTCGACAAAGGTAGATAGAGAAAGAAAGTGAGGATGAGAAGATTAGTTCACTTTACTCGATTAAGGTTGGGTTGCATGCAAGTCATAACTAATCTGACTAAAAACGTTTGGTGGTTTGTAGATTGAAAATAAAAGAAAAGAAAAAAAAATCATCGGAGCCCGAACCAAACTAGCTGTCCGATGTCAAATTTGTCAGTTATTTCTTGAACTATCAGTGAAATATATGAACTTTTAACATGTTATTGCTCTAGTTAAACAATTGTCGAAGTAGGGAAATGAAATTATCGACCACTAAGATAGTAATATATGCTTTTTATCTTATATAATTATTATTGTGTTGCTAAGTTATGTTCATGCTATAAACTTATAACTCAAATAAAGAGGTGAGGATCATATATATTGATATATTAACTACCTACGTGCAACATTTAATTATAAAACAAATATATAATTTTAGAATTTTATTTAAAAATTGAAAAATAACGGTATTTCATACACAACATAATTGTTTGTATTCACATTACAACCCAACACTCCTCACCTCGAACAAAGTAAACCGAGCCTCCCCTCCCCTCAAGTAGTCACTCATTTGTCTACTCTCGGAACCTGAATGGGAACCTGCAGTTATCCAAGACTTCTACCATATATTGATAGAGCACACGCACGTATTACACTATGACTACACCTCCGAGGCTCACTACTCTTTTGTTCGGCACCCGAGGATTTCACCGACACAGCTAGATGTAGACCATGGCTCCAATATCACTTATTGGGAGATTCCAAGTTACGCGAACAACACCAAAAATTTCAAAAAAATATGTAATAGCAATTAACTAAGTTCCAACGATAAATTCAACAAAACCAATGAGTAAGAGAGAAAAAATAACATCTCATTTATAGTGGTTCAATCAATGTGATCTACATCCACTGTGACGACTCATCCATTCCATTCATATCACCAAGAACAATAGCAAAATACATGGAGTTTTCAGAGAATGGCAGAAAATTTACGGTAACAAAAATTCCTATAGATTTCACCCAAAAATAGTTACTCACGAATAATACAAATGGTGAGAAGAATTGTCAAAGGATTTCACAAAAGGAAGCACCCTCTCTCTTTATCGGCACCACAAATGGGTAAAATATAAATTATCGTAAAATGATTAACCAATAAAGTTTCGTTCTCATTAATATTGATGGGGATTTAACTAAAGCTATGTCTATGTTAGGTTTTTTGTTTAGTATAACATTACACATATATATAGAATGTGTTTATGCAAGAATATGCACAACAACGTATTTCAGATTGCAACTCGAACTCGGCTTCCGGGCCAACCTGAACACTTGCGCGGACCTGCACAAAAAGGTGAGCACTCCGACGATCAAGTCAGTATAAGTCGGATTCCCAGTTTAGTTCGAGGTCAGAAATCATCGTACCTGATCGTGGAGTGAGGCCTTCTACTTATGGGTGGTAGTCCCGCTAATCTCGTGACGGTTACACCCGGTAATCTCGGAACCGACGGTTACGCCCGATAATCACGCCACTGACAGTTGCTCACATTGGCCCCTACCGAGCACCCCGGTAGGTCAGACCTCGGCCAGGTTCACCTCGGCCCTCATACTTAGCATCTGTCAACGCTAGTAGTGGTGATCTCGGCCATCCGAGCTGGGCATGACTCATGAGTCATCTTGGAGCACCAATAGGGGTCCTCCACATGTCCAGGGTATTTTCTTCCCCAAACAGAATGTAAGGGAAATAGTTTGGTTTGATTTTCTAGTTGAATTGAAATTGAACCCGTTGGAAATTAGATGAATAAACAATAAGTCAAATTGAGATATTGAAAATTGAGCCAACCAAACCACCCAACTATCTACATAGTTGGTGTGGTTCGATAGATCAAATGGTTATAATAAAGAGCAACGAGGGAGAGATAATTGAATAAGAGATTGAAAAAGACGAACAGGGGAGAGAGAACTAGCAATGAAATATATGATTAAGAAGAGTGTCAACAGAGGTAGATATGGAGAAGGAGAGTGAGGATCAAAAGATTAGTTCAGTTGACTCGATTAAGGTCGGTTGCATGCAAGTCATAACTGACCCGACTAACAATGATTTGTAGTTTATAGAGGGAAAAAAATACCATTAAAACCCAAACCAAATTAGTTGTTCGTGTCAAATTTGTCGATTATATATTCAACTGAAGGTAATGACATGAACTTTCAATATTTTATTGCTCTAATTAAACAATTCTTGGAGCAGAGAATTAAACTATCGAGTATCGACCACTAAGATAGTAATATATGTTTTATCCTATATAATTGTGTTACTCATGCTTAATCTAAGTTATGTTAATGTTATAAACTTAGAAGTCAACTAAAGAGGTAGGAATCAATTTATTAATACATTAACTAATATGTGCGACGTTTATTTCTTAAATGGGTCACGAAACAAATATATAATTGTAGGATTTGATTTAAGAAGTAGATCGAAAATAACAGTATTTCACATCCAACATAATGGAAAATAAAATGCAAGTTATCCTAAAATGATTACCAAGAGAGTTTTTGTCACATTAATATATTAAAAATATATCTCATGTAAACGAGTATAATTCAACTAGTTAAGGCACATATCTTCAAATCAAAAAGTCGTGAGTTTGCATTTCAGCACCCACGTATTAATTATATGTGTGTGTGGTACATAGACGTGATTTACTCTTATATTGAAAAATAAACTAATAATATATATTTGTTTTTTGCCATTTAAAACAGTCCAATATATAGGTGTACGATGGAATGATAAAACCACCCAAACTAAGATATGCCAAAGTATTTCGAGCGACCAAAATCAATCAATTCACTTGCGTGCTCTCTCATATACAATGCATTCAGTGGTAGCATCATGCTTGGTCGAGGTCAAACCTCGAATGAACGTGTTGCTAGCTCAAACGAAAATCTCCAACAAATGATGCTCACGCTAAGAATGCATCTTAGTTGATCCTACGAGTAGTCATCTGCTTCGTTCGAATATTAAGTCATGCATTATATATTATTTATTTATTTTTCCTTTGTTAGTTAGTTTCTCTTTTTCCTTTTTTTTTTTTTAATTTTATACTTAAATTTAGGATTTATCTTTTTCCTACAACCCTACTCCTTCCCACGAGATGAACCGAAACGTGAACACCCATTATCTCGTATAATAGATTAATATCGTTTATTTATTCCAATTGTTCTTAAATTACTTGATTGGAAAATAAAACTTTTTCTATTTTAGATGATAAATGCAGGGCACCGCCTTGCTATATATAAAAAAAAATAATTAGAAAATAAATATTGTTTTCGCATAATCACAGCTAGGCTCTGTCCAATTCTAGGCAATAAATCGACTAGATAAAGTTAAAAATATTGAAATATATAATTACATATATTTAATAGTTTTTCTTCTTTTTTTTCAAATGCTTAAAACAACTAACTTTTAATTTGAAAAAGAAATATGAATATAGAATCTACCCAACATGGCAATATTTATGGGGTTTAAGTAACATTGCCTAAAATTAAATAAAGATTTTTAGGACGTTTTCAAAATTATCTAAAAATGAAAATCTAATGGATAAATAATAAAATATCTTTTTATTATTAGATGAAGATATAAAATCATTGATATTTATTTTCGATGCCTTTTGTCTCTGCCATTAGTTGCTGTATCATCTGTGGGACCATTATTGTAGATTTTATATAAGTCAACAAACAAAGAAAAATGGTCAAATAATACTTTTAAATTTTAGGACAAATATCAAAATTTGCCCTAAAATTAGTCCATCAAATTTAATTTTAAAATTAGACTAGTGTGGCAATAGTCACCTTCAACTTTGTAAAATTGTGACAGCTTTTATCTTTTTACAGATTTTCATACGAAGAATCATTGAAAAAGAAATTATTATGTGCGTCTAATGATTTATAAAATATATATTTGATATGAACTTTATAAATATCATATACAAACAACATTACATCTGTTATTTTTTTTTTAAGTTTTGACAAAGTTATCATAGTCAATTTTGTTTCCATTTATCCAAAGTTTGCTTTTTATTAAATTATCGAGTTTTTAAAGTTGTTTTTTTAAGTACATCACGTGGGAAAAAATTTGAACTGACACTCTTTTAGTAAGAGATAGATGCCTCAACTAGCTCACGTTTGGTGAATTTTCTTAGTTTGTAAAATATTGTTTATTATTATCATTTTTAATGTATATTATTTATTAAGATTTAGTTGGTGGATTATCAAATATTGAACACAAGACAAAAATCACCGTACTTATTTATGTTTTTATAATTCAATTATGCCTTTTATCAAAAAAAAAAAAACCGAATTAAAAGTTTATAGTGAAAATTCATACAACTTGTCAAATTTTATTTTACGAATCTTTTAACATGTGTAATATTTACAATTTATTTTATCATACTTTAAAATTAAAATTAATGATGAATTTATCAATTTATATGAGATCGCACTTATACCACGTTGACTTATCTGCAATCGTAATGAAAATCAATCGGAATCTTAATGTTATCTATTGATATTGTTTACCATAAATTTTATGGAATAGTAACAGAATTGATTGATGTTGTTTACTAAAACTGTTTCGAATCGGAATCGGAATTGAAATCGAATATTTGACAATTACTAATATACCATTTTCTCCTTTTTAACTAATTACAAATGTATTATTGTGCTAATCTTTTTAAATTACAATAATAGTAGCTTTTAATTTAATTTATTACTATATTATATTATTGATAGTAAATATTTTTTATTATAACCATTTATCTAATATTAATACATAATGAGTAACTAAAATAAAATTACATCAAATAAAAGATTTTTTATTAGAAAAACCAAACTTTAATATAACATATTATTAAGTTTTATTATTCTAATATTTAAAAGTAATAATATCTATTTAGAAAATGTATTGATATTAATTAATATTAATTTATCATATTATATAATCAAATCAAATCAACTCATACAAATTGGAACATGAATGAAGAAGAAATTATAAAAGTATAAACTAATTAAAAATTATGGAGAGAAAGGATAAAAGTAKAGTTCACAGAATAAGGAAGGAAAATTGATGGGGTTGTAGGAGTGTAACGTAATAGGATTACGAGGTTGATCAAACACCATGAATCAAAGTTTTAGTTACTATTCATTGGTTACGATTTTCCTGAAATACTTTCTTATTTAAATTAAAAAAAATCATTTTTATTGTTTTCTAAATCCATATGCTGAAG